ACTAAAGGAAACATTATAGAAGAAGGGAGAACTGATGTTACAACCCAACTGCTCTGGGTTTTTCTTTGGAGTAGTCTCTTGACCTCCTATGTTAAATGATCAGTTTACACTAGCAACAGTTGGTTAGCTAGTCCAATTGAACTATATAACTTTAATTCACCAGATAGCAAGTTTTAGATGTGATCACAATAATGGATGTTTCTGGATCAAATTGTATAGATTGTGCTATATGTTACCACACTTTTGTTTATACATTTGATTTTAGTGACTACATAAAAAACTCAGCTTGGTATAAAGGCTGCTTATTCCATGCCTTGCTTTCTCAGCAATCAAGTTGATTTTGGCAGGGGTCGGGGGGCAGGGAGGAAGGCTTTCAGAAAGACTAGGCTGCCTGCCCACTAGAGTTCGAGAGCTGAATATAACATGTCCAAAGAGGTAGCAGGCTGGAAGGCTAGACGATGTCAGAGAAAGAATGTTTGAATGACATGAGAAGTTTTAACTCCTAAGGAACTGTTGAAAGAAAGAGAAACTATTAGGGAATCCTGATTGTTAGGACACTGGAGTTGGTCTCAAAAACTTTAGCAGTGATGACTTTAGAAAACCAGCAAAATGTCACTAGTAAAACAGTCTGCTTGGATAATATAATAGCCAGTAAGGATAATTCAACACTAAAGTATTCTTAAGTATGTATTTGAAGAATTTTATAATCTTTGGGGGGATTTTTTTGTTAGTTTGTCTGTTTAAGTAATCTGAATAGTTTGTCTTACTCTGACGAAAAGTGTCTATGGAAGCCTTACCAGAATAGAAGATTCTCTCTGAAAGGGAACACTTACTAAGAAAATAATGTTTTTAGAGAGGCAACAAGTTCTCAATTTGTTATACATTGCAATATATAATAATTTCCAATGACCTACTTTAATGGAAGTCAGTATGGTAGTTTTAAGATTTTTCCCTAGGCTTCTTGTGCCTTTTATGACACTACCATTTTCTTGTTTCTGCTCTTAAGACTCCATTAATGTACCCTAAAAATACTTTCAAGTGCCAAAAGGAAAGATAAGAAAGAAATTGAGAGAACAGAATCACTGACTGCAGGGGATGAGAGGAATATATGGAACAGACGAGTCAGTCACTCTGAGTACAGGAGAAACTAGCGGGCTGGAAGAGACAAAGCATTGCTTTGCTAAGCCATAGCTTGGCAACAGTTTTCATTAGGCAAAGGATATCCAGCAAATGGAGACAGTTGATCAAAAATAATGTGATGTCTCTTACTGGATTAAAATTTCCAAAAAAAATTTTTTTAAAAAAAAGTAATATGGCATAGAAATTTAAAAATGTAAATAAGATTCCATCTTAAAATTAATGTTAAGACTTGTAAATTGAATTGCTAAGTAGTAATATTTAATTAAATCTACTTATATTAATAATTAGCATGGTTAATAAATGAGAGAGATGACTAATACTTAGGGAGAAATGGAGCATGTTCATATGCCTAGAAAGGGCTTTTTTTTTTTTTTATCTGTAACAGGCTTCAAACTTCAGTGTGGGTACAAGTTGCTAGGATGCTTGTCAAAATAAGGTTTCTTAATTTTGGCACTTTTGAAATTTCAGATGGGATCATTTTTTGTTGTAGGAGATTGTCCTGTGCATTGTAAGACGTTTAGCAGCATTCCAGGCCCACTAGACCCTGCAGCACCCCTCGCCCAGCCGTGTTTCCAGGTATTGCCAAATGTCCCTTAGGCGCAAAATCGCTCCCCTCCTTTGAAAATCACTAGCCTAGGGTAAAGCTCTGATCTGCATTTCTAGTAAGAATACCCAGGTGATTCTAACAAATATGGTTAGTGGACCACATTTGAGAAACACTGAACTAAAGTGTTATGAGTTGAACTGTGTTCCCCCAAAATTTGTATGTTAAAGTCCTAACCCCCCCAGTACCTCAAAATCTAACCTTATTTGGGAACAGAATAGCTGCAGGTTTAGTAAAGATGAGGTCATACTGGAGTAGGATGGGCCCCTAATCCAATATGCCTGGTGTCCATCTAAAAAGGGAAAATTGGGACAACAGACACACAGGGAGAATACAATGCAGAGACTGGAGTCACCTTGCCTGCTGCCACCAGGCAAGGAGCTACCTGACTGACGTTGGGAGAATGGTCTGGAACAGATCCTTCCCTAGAGCCTTCAGAGTGAGCATGGCCCTGCCAACACCTTGATCTCAGACTTCTAGCCCCCCAGAACTGTGAGACAGTAATGTCTGTTCTTTAAGCCACTCAGTTTGTGGTACTTTGTTACAGTAGCCCTAGCAAACTGATACATCAAGAATAAACAAAAGAACAAACAAGTCAGAGTTTAGGATGGGGACAACATTTGAAGGAGGATCAGGAAGAAAAATGAAAAGATAGCAGAGTGGCACCAATTCCTAATTTATCTTTCTCAGAGCCTGATACAAAATAGGTACTCAAGAAACTGATATTTTTTTCATTAAGCACTCTCCAGATATATCTTGTCTAATTTAAGTCCAGTAGTCCGCCCTCTTTTCCTCAGGGGGATAAGTTCCAAGACCCCCAGTAGATGCCTGAAATCTTGGATAGTACTGAACCCTACATACATTTTATTTTTCCTATACGTATGTACCAATGATATAGTTTAATTCATAAATTAGGCACAGTAAGAGATTAACAACAATAATAAAACAGAATTATAACATACTGTAATAAAAATTATGACTGTGATCTCTCTCAGAACATCTTATTGTACCGTACCCTTCTTGTGATGTATAAGATGATAAAATGCCTATGTGATGAAATGAAGTGAGGTAAATGACATAGGTATTGTGACATAAATGGAAAATTCCAGAAATACGTAATTCATAAGTTTTAAATTTTCGTCCGGTTCTGAGTAGCGCAGTCACATTCCATCCCTACCCGATTGCCTTTCGTCAGCAGCTGTCTCAGATCAGCTATTACAGTGTGGCAGTGCTTATAAAAGTAACCCTTATTTTATTTAGCAATCCCCAAAGTGTAAGAGTAGTGAGGTAATATTTCAGACCTTGGGTGACCAAGGTAACTGAAATCTCAGGAAGTGAAACGCTGGGTGAGGGGGGATTACTATATTATTATAAGAGCAAGATCTTATAATTTGTTACTTGAAAAGGTTGAAATTACCCATCATGTTCCATTTTCAAGCATTAGCTGGCATTATTAATATATAATTGTATAGATTGTTACTTGAAAAGGTTGAAATTACCCATCATGTTCCATTTTCAAGCATTAGCTGGCATTATTAATATATAATTGTATAGATTGAGTTGCCTGGAAGACAAATGGAATGCATAAATTATGCCATTATTCATAGAAGGTAATGTATAAATGTGAAATTCCATATAAAGCACAAATGCATTGACTGTGATCACACTGTAGCTTTAAGAAAAGTGTTGACTGTTTCAGGTCACAAAGGCACTATTTAGAGTACAGCAAGTGAGACTATGTGTCCAGCAGGCCCCACAGTCACGTGCCTACCCAAAGTGGGCAATTCATACACTCTCACTGGAAGGATTAAAAGAACTTAAAAGGTATGTACCCTAATAGTTCCATTTGTAACAAAAGTTGTTATGATAATAACTGTTGTCAGTTATTATCAGCAAGACAAAAAACAAGAGCTCAGTGGCAAATATTAGTCTTTTTCTCCTGGAGAAAGATAGAAAAATCATACTACTGGACATCTTAGTTCCTGTTTCCTCCTACAATTGAAGGGGAAAAAAACCCCACAAGTCTCCTCGTCTCAAGATTTTAGAATAAAAAATTGTAAAGCTTCTATTGTAAATGCAGGCCCTCTTCCCCCAATTTATTTTCCCTGCTTCCGGGAGGCATAAACTAGGTAATGACAAAGAATGGTACGAAGCATTGACAAGGAGCTCCTAGAAATGTCTACAAATTAAGCTCAGTGATCAAACACAAACAAGGTTAGGCCTAGACCGCTTAAGTGCCCTCCACAAATCAGGATAAGCTAACAGAACATTAACTTGGGAGCCTTTGCCAAACTCTAATTTGGATATAATTTTACCTCACTAAATCCCCTCACCTTCAATCAAGGAAATTTTCCCGCGTGCCCTTCAGAGTCACATGAAGTTGCTGCCAGATTCCGGCTAAAATTACGTTTCACTGTTAACAGATTTGACTCCTGGGGGACAAGGAGGTGGAGGTGGGTAATTAGGGTTGGCACCTGTTCTGAAAGGCCCCAGGAGGTTAGGATAGGGACTACCAATTCTCAAGGCTATTTTCTTTTTCCAAAAGAGGGCAAGACCGGTAAAGAACTGACTCAGTGTCCCTGAGAGGAAGAGCTGCAGCCAGACAAAATAGAAACCTAGGGGATGAAAAGTAGAAGTAAATAGGTTTTTATGGCTACACTGTCAGTATTAGGCCTTCTCCGACTTCTCCAATTGTTTCTTCCCCAAGTTACTGAATCTTCTCACCCAAAGCAGGCCAGATGAGGGGTAGTTGTCCAACCCCTTCCCACTGAGTGCCTCTCTTCTTCCTTACAATCTCCACGTCTCCTCCTTGCACGCTCCCACCCCCCCACCCAAAAGGTAAGGGCCCGTGCCCAAATACAGACTCTAAGGTCCACTGCGGGCGGCTCCAGTCTAGGGCTGTTGCCCAGAAGAAAGTCTGACGCCGAGAAATCTAATCTCCCACGTCTATCTCTGCAGCTATTGTGCCTCCAGGGGAAGGCAGAACAGGTGAGGGCGGCTGGAGGGAACCAGTTCCGCGACAGTCGGAGAGGGCGAAGTGAGGGTACCGGGCGAGGGAGGGAGGGCACCGCGCGCGATAAGTAAAAGGGGCGCCACCGAAGCGCCGCCTCCCTCCCCGGGATCACCTTGCGCTGACCTAGTAGAACTGTGATGGAAGGAACCGGTGCCAGCGAAGACGGGCGGGGCGGGCGGTGGGCGGGGCCTCCGTCGGGGGCGGGGCCTAGAGCTGGATTTTTCTGGCGCTCGCCTGTGATTTGCCGAGGGATTCCAGCCGGAAGCGGGCTGGGAGGTGTTGGCGGCAGCGGCGGCGCACGTGGTGACGTGCGAGGGGGTGCGGCGCGAGCGGTCGGCGGCGGCAGTGTCTCCCGGTCGCGTGTGGAGGTCGGTCGCTCGGAGCTGCTGGGCGCAGTTTCTCCGCCTGCTGCTTCGGCGCAGCTGTGCCCGCCCGCGAGCGAGTTCCCGCGAATTCTCGGTGGCGCTCCCCCCTCCTCGCAGCCTCCACTGACTGGCCGCTCGTCCTCCCGCTCGACCGCTTCCTCCCTCCGTCGCCTCGAGGCGCTTTCCGTTGGGCCGATCCCGCCCGCTTCCTCCTGCTCCCCATCGAAGCTCTAGAGATGAATTTTTCCATCTCTTCAGAGATGAACCAGGTAATATGCGCTGGTTCTACAGACGGCGGATGAGGGAGAGGGCGCAGGTGGCCGGGAAAAGGGTGGGAGGCGCGGAGCGGTGTCCTGGTCTCCCGGGAGGACGCCCCGAGCCGCCGCCGCTCTCTGGGACAAGAGGCTGGCGCCGCGCTGGGCCGGCGCTCCAGCCGCTGCCATGGTTGCCGAGTCGCGTTGGCGGCCGGGGGCGAGTGCCGGCCGCCTCGGAGAGCGCAGAGGCTGAGGTCCCTTTTCTTCACCGGAGCAGGGGAGGCAGGGTGGGAGGAACGCGAGGTTTTTGCTCCAGGGCTCCTTGGGGGCCTAGGTCAGGGCGCCACCGGGCGGGGATGACCCACCAGAAGGAGGGCGCGGGACTCCGTTCTCGCTGTCAGGAACGGACGCCTCGCATTGGGTTTGCCTGGCATCTGGATTCTCCTCGGTGAGACCTCCGGGGCCTCGGCGACTGTGGGCGAACAGCCAGCCCCGGGCCTGGAGTGAGGTGGCACCGAGTCCCCGATCGCCGTGGGCCGCGGGGTCCTTTGTTCCCGCTCCACGTTGCCCGCTTTTCTTGCCAAGCGCGGGGAGAAGGGGGCGGGAGGAGGGAGGGAGCGGCTGCCCTGACGTGTCGGCGCTGAATGACTGCGGGGCCGGCCAATCCCGGGCGGGGGTGTGCGGGCGCAGGGCGCCTGGCCTCCCAGCCTTGGAAATGGGCGCCGGCCTGGCCGCGCGAGGAGGAAGGCCTGGGGCTGCAGCGCGGGCCAGTCACTCTTGGGCGCTCTTTTTTACGAAAGAAGTAGGTGGCGAGGCTTGCTCTTTTTCCGTACTTCCCCTCTTTTTGCCAAGGGACTCTGGTCTTGATGATCGGAAGGTATCAGTATCAGGTTAGGGTCGAACGTAGGGGAACTTGAACCACTACTTCAGAACTACGTTTACTACGTTTCCACCCAATACCTAGTAGACAAATCTGTTGGTTTGAGACAGCTGACGTTTCAAACAAGGAGAAATCAGATGGCCTACAGGGCACATTTTTGTTTCCTAATGTCTGTTGTCAGTGATGGCGAGTTAGAACATCAGGCTGTTCTTTGAGTTCTTATGTGTTGTGATCGCCTATCTAGTAATAAATGACAACTCTGGAAGCCTAGTACTATTAACAGTTGAACAAGTACAGCATAGACTAGACTACCATCATGCCATATTTTCTTTTAATAATTCTTACACCAGCAGTTGGTTTAGGAATAACAAATACTGATGAATAGTTTTAGGCTGAATCCTGCTGAAACGTGTCTTAAAGATGCTGAAGGAGCAGTTGTATTTGTAAGTCTGGACATGAGGTAAACTGACTTAGGAATTGGATTGAGACCAGTATCATTTAATGCCAGCTTGCAGGTTACTTACTTACCAAAATTTGGTAGGTGAGTGAGGTAAACAGGACTTGAACCACTAACCAGAGAAAGACCCGGAATGGTTTTCCTCTATTTTCGTAATAGATGAAACCTCCAATTAATAGATATTGATTTCTATAGCTGTTGTCTTAATTCATAATTCTTTTTTCTAACTTTTCCCTCCATGACAAAGTATTTCAAATTTTAGTCTTAGTTTTAAATTAGTGTCTTTTGGCTACTTGCTCTTTTGGAATGTGGGGTTTTGTTTTTCTTGCCTGAAGGATATGTTAGATGGCACTTGAATGTGGTTTTGCAAACAAGTTTTTTCATTTAAGTCTTTACTATTAGGGAAATACCTTTTTTTTTTTTTGAGATCGTCTTGCTCCGTTGCCTGGGCTAAAGTGCAGTGATGTCACCATAGCTCACTACAACCTCAAACTCCTGGACTCAATCCTTTTGCCTCAGCCTACTGAGTAGCTGGGACTACAAGCGCACACCACCACACCCAGCTGACTTTTTACTTTTTGTAGTGACAGGGGTCTGACTGTTGCTCAGGCTGGTCTTGAATACTGACCTTAAGTAATCCTCCTGCCCCAGCCTCCTAAAGTGCTGGGATTACAGGCATGGGCCACTATGCCCAGCCCTGTTAGGCTCTATCTTAATCATTGATAACAAGGTGAAGTATCCTAAAAAATAACTTCCGTTGACTTTTTAGCAGTACGATTATGTAGTTAAATCCTGCAAGTAGGAATTGTTAAAGGTTAGGGTCCTCCCACCATGTGCTCTGCTAGAGTGTAAATTGAGGTATTATGAATAAGGAAGTGATTTCTGGGTTTCTGTTACAACCACAAAAAAAAATACATGCTTATCTTGTAAACTGAAGTTAACACCTTGGTAAATGTTTCTAAACCTGTACCTAGAGCAATATTCTTACACTTTTAATATCAACCTGAATGCCTAATACTTACCTCAGCATTAGACCATCCCAAACCAAATTCTTCTCTCCTTCCTTCCTATCTTTCTCCATGCAGCAAACTAAAAACGACTCTGTGTTATGCTTCTTGGAATTCTTAATTATGATATATATTCGAATAATGATGCCACATCCAAGCTAAAATATCTTAAGTCTCCACTGCCTTAGTTAAGGACTAAGCATGGGTGTACAGACTCTTTATGTAACTGCACTATTTCCTGTTACCCATCCCCCCACATGTCTGTTTCAGTGCCCTATGCTTCCTTACTTAAATCCTTCATCTGTTCTCCATTCTCAGCACTGTTTAAACCTTGAAATTAGTCTCTCTTACTTCCTCTCCCAACTGTTTACCATATGCATCCTGCAACTCTACAAATCCGCAATCTATTGAAATGAAATAGCTGCAGTTTCTGGAATATATTTGCTGCCATACCTTTTTTTCCCTTTTGTTCAAGCTGTTTTCACTGGTTTATCTGTCTTCCTGTCCTGCCTGTGAAGTGGTTAAGGATAGGGAATTGAGTTAACGCCATTGTGTTATAAGCATTCCATTTCACTTTGTGCCTGCCATATGTTTGGTGCCACAAATGTTTGTTTTGTAATGAAAGAATTACAAAACTCTGAGGTTAAAAGCATGGAGCAAATGAGTGAGTTTGGTGAGTTTTGATATAGATGGATAATGATAGTGGTTTTTAGAGGGTTCATTGGGAAGCTGAAACTTCTGTTTTTAAAAAGGTCGTTGATTTACTTTGCATTACAAAGTCTCTCCTTTTAAAATGGAGTTGATTGCGACTTTGTGGGAATTGACTGCCCTCAAAAGATTGCCTTTACACTTAAATATTTGTAATTTGCCTTGAAGTTTTAAGAATGCTTTGAAAGTTTGATTATAGTGTTTTATCTTGCTCTTAAGGAAAGCCAGACAATTTTGGGAGACTCCATATTATGCCTACCTTTTTTATAACTCTTTGATAAGACCTGTTGAATTGTATTTCACTTAAGCTAATCTTTTTGGACTATGGTAATTTGTGAACTGCTGGGTGTTAAGCAGTTTAATTACTCATTTATGAATCTTCTATATTCTTTTTTCTTGTACTAGCCATATAAAGGAACTGAAATATATTGTATTTATCAGAGTATATTGTATTTGATCCCAGTTTTAATCTTAAAAGTGGATTACTTGGAAGTATATTTTAAATACCAAACAAAATTGTAAGTTTTATACTCTTATGTGACTCTAGGATGTTTGGGCTTTTTGGTTTGGATTTTCAAAGAATAACATTCTCTCCATTTTTTTATTCCACTAGTTATTGTGCTTGAGTTTCATAGACCACATAATATCTTCCATGAATTGCAGGGGTAGTTTTAAAACTCTTGATTTGCCCAAGCTTACTTTAACGAAAGTGACTGTGAACTTTCAAAAACGTGGTTTTACAGGTAGAAGTTGATCTGACCTCCACCAAACTTGCAGGGAGGTTGGGAGGAAGGACATAGTTTGTGAGAGCAGTAATTGAACAAAGTAAGTTTGTATTAACTTAAATGTCATCAGGACTTGGGCTAGCTTTTAATAATCAAGCAGGGTTGTACTGATCAGTAGATATTAAAGAGATGAGGTTCATATTAAGACCTTAATGAACTAAAAATCAAGTACTAAATGATGTAATAGGACTCATTCTATGCCAAGTTGCTCCAAAAATTCTCCAAAGTGTTCTCCCAAAGGACAGTGGCTCGATCATAGCTCACTGCAGATTCAAATGCCTGGGCTCAAGTGATCCTCCTGCCTCAGCCTCCTGAGTAGCTGGGACTACAGGCTTGTGGCTGGCTGATTTTTTGGTTTCTTTAGGATAGTGTGTTATCTCTGTATAAAGAATTGTGTGTATTTGGGAGAACATTTGTTTTCTAATTTCTTAGGAAAAGCTGAATTAACCAACCTAGATAAAAGTGTAGAGCCAAGGAAATCAGTATTATATAACAGTTTGATATAGTTTTGATGAGGAGGTAAGCCTTCACAACAATCCCAAGCTGAGTTGGAATACTTGGGTTTCCTTGAAATGAAACCTAAGTTATGGAGACACACGAGATCCAGTTCTTACAGATACAGTCAATACGCTAAACTTAACACAGTTGGTCTATTGCATTAGTACTGGACCAACTTGCAGTGGCGCCTGGGGTAAGTGATTATTTACTTTGACATAATTGTTAGATTTAGACTTGTGGGTTTGATTGATGCATGAGACAAATCCAAGTCATTTTAAGATATTCCTAAAAATTGATATGTTTGCACATATTTCAAATAATTTCTTACTTAGTTCTGGTTTCCAGCATTAACAGTGGTGTAATAGCAGTTCAGGTGATTAAAAAATAAGTGCCATCTGAATTCGACACTAGTAATTGATGACATATGAAAATGAAGAGGAAAGAATAGGTGGGAGTACTGATTACCTTGAAGATTTGTTTTGAACCAGAAATTCCATTGGTAGTTATTACTTTGTATGAGAAGAATGATCATGCAAAACACAGGCTTCAGTATATTCCCGTTTGTTTCAACAGATTACTCAATCTTTATGTTGAAGTTCCTAGGCTAGTCCTGGTAGGGGGGAAATGGGTTTGGATACAAAAGATGAACAAAACAGAGGCTTTGCCTTCATGGGGTCTGGAAGCAAGGAAACAGGTATATAGAAGCATTAGCTCAGAACAGACCAGCTGGAAGATCATACATACCTTTCAGGGAGGATTCTAGGTGCGGAGGATGAGGAGAATCTGCTTCCCAACTGGGAGGATTTGGCAAGAGGCTTTATGATTGTAAGATTTCATCTGGTAGAGGTTGGGTTAAGGGCATTCAAGATAGAACAATTTGAACAAAGTTAGAGAGGCTGGGAAGTGCAGAGCACATTTTGAGTAACAATTATCTCTGGTTTGTAACATTATATATGAGTTTGGGAATAATGCCCAAAGATTGCTTGCTGGCTCCTAAAAACAGATCACATGTGTATGTATTAGTTGGAATCTAATAGTAAAGAATATTGAGTTAACCAGTATTTACGTTCGTGTTGTGATTCTGGTGCTTTTATACCCCACTTAAACAGTAAGTTATTAGCTCCTGACCTCTGGGTAAGGTTTGTTTGTTTGTTTTTTAAGATCACCTAGGTAGTCAAGTTAAAAATATTTATGTATAATTGCATTATGTTCTTTTTTTTTATGTAGTGTGAATATTTTTGCCATTTACCTCAAAATCAAAGATCAGGACTTGTTTTTCATGATCTACTCTACCTAGATCAATAACAGTCTTTGATCATTCTGAATATCTAACTTAAATTTGTCGTTGTTACAGATTATGATGTACCATTATCACAGAAGAAATTTGTGTCTATAGCTTTTAAGGACTTGATTACATCATTTTCAAGCCTGATAGTTTTGGAATCACAATTAGAGCTTAAGACACGTCTGCCTTTACTCCAGCCACCTGTCTTCATACCTTGACAACGTGCTGCGTTTTAACACTCCTTTGTCTTTGGATTAAGAGTTTTCAGAAATACATTTGTCACCAATATAATAGGTAAGTGAATATTCAGTGCCCAGGCCAGTATTAAGATACATTGTTTTTCTGAAGACTGTGCAGAGTATATTAATAGTCTTTCATAATTTTTTAAAAGGCGGAGAAGCCAATAATAATTTGAATATGAATGTGGAAAATGTTTTCATAATTTACCTTTCTACAATTTGACTTTAAATAAATCAGTTACTTCAAAATGAAATATATTACTGCTTTTTAGTGATGTATTTTGTGTAGTTATTAGTCAGTTGTTTAGAAGTAAGTGAAATGCCAAAACTTTTAAAGAAGTTACTATTATGTAATCTTAAGTGATTTAAAATATATGAAACTTACAAAAGGAACAGACTCTAAGTTTATCTTTTTAAATTTCTCTACTTTATATATTTCAAAACATTTATAAAAATCATTATAAAAATCATTTGGCAGATGCAATGAGGAGACGTATTAGATTTTTAAGTGTGTGTTTTAGGCAAAGGAAGAATCAGGCAATTTTCCACATCTAAATCTTGATGAGATATAATTTTGAAGAATAGAGTTAAATGTTGGGTCCCTTTAAGGAAACTGAACAAGGGTAGAAATGGAATAAATAACAGTTTTTCTCATTTGTGAGTAAAGGAAACAGGAGCCCAAATCCAAGGAAACCTGTAAGTGATGGCTACTTCATATCCTTTCAGGCTTTTAGGTTGCTCATTATAGGGGTTTGGGTAGACAGAGTTTCATTTGCTTCCCTTCAGAACAAATGTGCTAATAGGCATGGAAACCTGGCCAAAATTGTTGAGATACCACTGCTATATTAATCTTTAAAAGGACTTAAGACAAAGTATGGGGGTACAAAGACTTGGATATTCAATGCCAATGTTGTTTTAGCTAGGTTTTAGTGTGATAACAGCTTCTTTTTTTTTTTTTTGATAAAGATGGGATCTTCCTATGTTGCCCAGGTGGGTCTCAAACTCCTGGCCTCAAGAATAAAATTTTTATATGTTATTTATAGGTTGGAATTTGAGAACAAAGATATTGTATTACTCTTTATATTTTAAAAACTACCATTTGCAAATAAAATAAGTCAGCTTTTTTTCCTGCTGTTTAGCCACATTTATAAGGAAAAATGATTCCTAACGGATATTTGATGTTTGAAGATGAAAATTTTATCGAGTCTTCTGTTGCCAAATTAAATGCCTTGAGGAAAAGTGGCCAGTTCTGTGATGTTCGACTTCAGGTATTTAAAACTTAATTGGAAACTTATAGAATTGATCTTTTGTTACTAAAAGCCATAAGTTCTTAGATGTGCTTGTTTTCTTTTTCACAGGCATTTAATGAAATGACTTTTTAAAAAGAATGCTTTACCTAAAAATGTAAGATAAAGGAATCTGACCTAGTAATTGACTAGAGAAATACGTAATCCACAGTAGTTCTCATTTTAATTCTTTATAATTTCAGGTCTGTGGCCATGAGATGTTAGCACACAGAGCAGTATTGGCTTGCTGCAGTCCCTATTTATTTGAAATATTTAATAGTGATAGTGATTCTCATGGAGTTTCTCATGTTAAATTTGATGATCTCAATCCAGAAGCTGTTGAAGTCTTGCTGAATTATGCCTACACTGCTCAGTAAGTACTTTGAAGTAAACCACATAATTAGGGAACATCATCAGAAAATTCCAAGTTTCTCTAAATATATTTATATCGAGTATCTGTGTTTTAAGGCTTTGGTATCATAAATAATAAAGATATTTTTCTAATAGGTTGAAAGCTGATAAGGAGTTAGTAAAAGATGTTTATTCTGCAGCAAAGAAGCTGAAGATGGACCGAGTAAAGCAGGTAGAGTATTAGAAGTAATATTCAAGGACTTATTAATACTTAGACGATGAGAATGCAGAATTTGTCACAAAACATTTTGTTAGTCTCAAGAATTTGAAAATGCCCCCCTTTTTTCCCTTCAGAGAATTGAGTGTGTTATTTTAACTCTTTGTCTGTAATAAGGTAGCAAGATCACACTACCTCTCAGATAATTTGAGCTGAAGTCTCACTCTTTCAACAGTCTTCTCTGGACGGGTGGCTGTGTCAGTCTCTGACAGGATGAATTAAAATATTCATCTGTGAAGACGGACTTAAGTGAAAACAAACAAACAGAACAAAATTTCTTTTGAATTCATCTGTTTTTATCAAGAGTAAATAACATAATTTATATCCTCAGTTCTCTGGTCTCTTAATTTCCTGGCTTCCTCTTTAAAGTATTCCTTCTAGAATTTAATACCAGTGAGAAATACTTAATAATTCATAGGAAAAAGGGCATTTAATCCTTGAATGTCGTGGAGGCGGGGGTCAGTAAATTGTAGGCCATGGGCCAGCTGCCTGTTTTTGTAAAGTTTTTATTGGAACACAGCCATGTGTATTCATTTACACATGATCTGGCTGCTTTCCAGCTATGGTGACAGAATTGAGTAGTTGTGACAGACAATATGTCCCACAAGCCTAAAATAAGATACTAAATATCTAGCCCTTAAGAAAAAGTTTGGTTTACTGGCCAGTCCTCTAATGCCACTCCTCTGCTTAAAAATCCTTTTTTGATTTACAGCACATATCCCTGAGTTTAGCATTCCGGGTTCTCCTTAATGTAGTTTTATTTTCAAAATTTTTTCCTAGTTGTCTTATCTTTTTTCCAGCCAAAGTAAATTGTTTGCAGCATCTTCCCTACTTCCTATTACATTCAACATCAACGTCACCTCTCCTATAGAGCCCAGTCCAGATTCTGTCTTTCATGAAGCCTTACTGAATTACTGTAATAGTTAAAAATACTTATGTGAACCTACACAGCATTTCAGTTTGTTTCATTTCTCCTTAAACAACTAACACATTTGTGCAGCATTCGTTGGTGTTTATCAGTTGTATCTTTGCTATTCTCACTATTAAATTTGTTGTATTAAGACAATGATTTTTGATTCATCTTTATATCTTCACATGGTGCTTACATGTTGAACATTAAATATTTGTTGATTAAAATAAATGTAATTGTTGGCACACATATATTTCTTTCCGAAGGTTTGTGGTGATTATTTACTATCTAGAATGGATGTTACCAGCTGCATCTCTTACCGAAATTTTGCAAGTTGTATGGGAGACTCCCGTTTGTTGAATAAGGTTGATGCTTATATTCAGGAGCATTTGTTAGAAATTTCCGAAGAGGAGGAGTTTCTTAAGCTTCCAAGGTTAAAGGTAAGGAGGAAAATCTATGAACAGATTTAATACACTCTAGTTTTAAATCTTTGTCCGTGTTTCAAACAAGTGAGTAATGGTTATAAAAACAATAATATGTTGAAATTATATTGTTCTTAACACATGATGGGTTTCTGCTTACCAGTTTGTTTACTTTCTTTGTTTTTGGTTACTGATTTCCTTACAAATTAGAGTAAATGTATGGAACACAATTGGGCATCTATGACAACTTTATTGTGAAATTGAGCAGTAAGCTGAGAATTAAAAACTCAACATTTGATGTGTCATTGTTTTTTCTCAACTCAGTTGGAGGTAATGCTTGAAGATAATGTTTGCTTACCCAGCAATGGCAAATTGTATACAAAGGTAATCAACTGGGTGCAGCGTAGCATCTGGGAGAATGGAGACAGTCTGGAAGAGCTGATGGAAGAGGTTAGTTTTAGAGTAAATGGGATTCAACAATTCTTAAAAATTACTTTGCTGTAACATAAAGGATTCCCTTTCACTTTTATTTTATAACCATGACCCTAAAGAATTTAAATTTTGCTGTAGGTACCCCTAAGCTGAGAAACAGGGGGGGTGTCCAGGTGAGCTGAATGAACTGTTCAGTTTGGTCTTCTGCTTTTCTTTTTTTATTTCTTTGCTTATTATGTGCTGTTAACTTTCTTTAAAGTAGCATGTAATTTGCTGTAGAAATGGGAGGTGGTACTGAGATTTTCTGTAGATTCTTAATTTTTCTTCACAGGTTTTTGCTTTAAATTTGACAAGTAGGTAAAAGCTTCTAATGGTTGTTCCTCCCCATTGATTTATCTCCCCATAGGTTTATTAACAAAACTAGGATACCCAAGACTGAAGAAACAAGAAGAAACTTCAAGTGTATTGACACGTAAAGAAGCAGCAGTCCTGCCCCAGTTCTCCTAAGAAAAATCCGCTGTGGGCAGAGAACGATGATGATTTAATGGTGTTTACTCCTTTACAGGATTCTCATCTTTAAAGCTTTGTGTTTTTCAATGGTGTTGTTCATACATACAGTCACTCACTTAACTTGGGCTATTTTTTAAAATACATAAGAAAAACAAAATTAATGGAGAAGTGGTGGAAATTTAAAATATGCATGTGGAGCAGTAGAATAATCTTGAGTTTATCACTCCACTTAAGCCTTTCGGAGTCCCTAAAGGCTTACCAAGTCTGTTAGGCCTGGAAAACCACTGCCATCCTTATGTTCTAAAAGGGCTAACAGATGATCTTTAACTTCTATATGATTTCCCACTTGAAAATCAGATGCATTAGCTCTGTATTTGCATCTGTCAAGGGAGATATCTCTACAGCTTACTTGAATTTTTGCATTTGTTTTTTCTTTATGTTTTTCTTGACATTGCCTACAGGAGGGAAATGTTTATGCAAATCAGACCACTTATCTTCAGAGGTGTAAACTATATTCAGTAATTTATTGTAAATATGTGTATTCTTTAAGAGTCTGTATATTGTACTAGCCTTTTTTCTTAGTACTGTATAGTAGAAGCTATGAAAAAAGTGAAGATTTCTTTCAAGCCAATCAAGCCAAGGACTCTTCGGCCAGTAGTGGAAGATTTTGTATTTGATTTTGGTTTTTGGATTTTGGTTTTTAAATTTTTACCACCATGACATGTATTTTTCTTTACTTCGGGATCCTGCCAGAGTAACATGTCAAGAAGCTCAAGAAGCACACTGGAGGTTACCTTGAGGCGTTTGTGTAATCTGCGTACTAGTGGAGTAGCCATGGTGACTGTAGCCACATGGGTGTTCTGTTGCTGTTTTGCAGGTTCAAACCTTGTACTACTCAGCTGATCACAAGCTGCTTGATGGGAACCTACTAGATGGACAGGCTGAGGTGTTTGGCAGTGATGATGACCACATTCAGTTTGTGCAGGTACACATTGCACAGTCTGAGGTAACCTCAGGTTAAAATTTGACGAGAGAATTTTATAGCATACTTAAATTTTCCTTTAGTAAAGGAAAGTGGACCAATTTCATTGGTATAACTGGACAAAAACATTTTTGGGAGAAAACAAGCATATCTTAGAGTTACTAGCATTTTTGTCCCGTGAAAAGAAAATAACAAATTAGGA